TTGCTACTATTTCTTGCACTGATTCATTAAAATTTAAAGTTAATCATTAGAGATTAATTTACTAAGCCTCTATTATTTTTTAGGTGGTGATAGTTCTTTGAAATTTGAAAGATTCTCTCTGTTTGTTAGCAGGATTAGGCATCACCTATTTTTAATCCATTTGGAAGAAGTAGATTTGATCTCAATTATACCTTCTTCTTGGCCTGCACTGAATGGAATCAAGGACAGGGAAATTATAAAATAGAAATATTACCCTGTCTTAGATTCTTTAAAACAATACTGAAATAATAACAACAACAATAAAAACCACAATATTTACATAGGTAAGACTCAGCCTCTGGAATGGTATTTCTTAGTTAACTGATTGAAATCAATGTATAAAATGTAAAATGTACCTGATATCATTTTGGAGTTGGAAGCCACCTTAGATACAATCTAATCCAAAAGATGAAACAGAGGTCAAGAACATTTAGGAAGATTACTCAAGATGCCAAAATCAGTTAATAAGAGACCCCAGATATGGGGCTTCTTGTTCAGTAAACATTCCTCAACAACTAACTATAGATCAGTGACATTTTCCATTTTGTGTATTTTGTGTCTTTGAAGGAAATGGATGAAGTATCTAGTTTTCTCCAAAGTTCTGATCAGGGGTGTGAATCAAACAACTTGAACCTTCCTCCTTTCACTCCTCGTAAGTTTTCTCCTGTTTGCTAATGATATAGGCAATGGACGTGTCTAAAACAACCTCAGTAGTACTCAATGTGTCCAAGAACAATTTCACTTTGCAGTTCAAGGGACGTCCCCCCCTCAAACACCCTGACCACTCCTCTACTGGAGACCTTGCTGCATTGTTTGGTCTCTGATACCTTTTGCTGCCATAATCCGAGAGCAAGCATGTGGTGAAAGTGTGCCTCCTGTGACTGTGCCACCTCTGTAGACTTCTGCATTCTTCCGTCCTGTTCACTACTTCCAAATCCCTCCTACAAGTGGTTCAGTTTTAAACTTTATGAGAATATAGGTATACTTTAAGATACAAACTACCTTCCATTGAAATAAATCTATAAATTTGTTAACTTTTTTTTTTTTTTTTTTAGCTCATTGGCAACAGTTTAAAGCATCAATGGTTCCTTTTAGGTCCTTTCTGTTTTTAAGCCTCATTTCTACACAAAGTCAATTCTCCAATTCCTGATCTTGAAAGAATGTGTGTGTGTGTGTCTGTACGCGCGCGCGAGCAACAGTATAGAATAGATTATATTGTGGAAAGAAATGAGCCCCAACATCTCAGTAAATTAACATAATAAAAGTTTATTTTTTTGTGCATATAGTACTCT